TCAAACTTCCAAGACCAGGGCAATGTCCAGTTCACTATGAGATGTAGTGACAGTCAAAGCCTCTCCTCTATGGGAAGGAGAATGTGAATCATTCAGAGTGGCTCCCCACAAACAACATATAGTTTGATCCTGTTTTTTGATCCATTCTGCTAATTTACATCTTTTAACTGGGGGGGTTAAGACCCTTAACATTCAGTGTTAGTATGGATATGTGTTTGTGTTTTCCTACCATTTTCTTTTTTTGCTGTATTTAATACTGTCCTAATTCTCCTTTAAAAGATTATTAATTTCATTCCTACATTTGGGATCTTTGGGATTTGTTTTTGAGTTCCTCTGTGTGCATTTTATCTCTGAGTATTCTTTGTAGTGTTAGCTTGGTGCTCATGAATACTTTGAGTCTTATCATGGAAAGTTTTTATTTCCCCCTCAAATTAGAAGCTGAGCTTTGCTGGTGTACTAACCTTGGCTGGTGTATTAACCTTGTTTCCTTTTATAACTTGGAATATCTCATTCCAGGCCATCCTTAATTTTTAGGATCTAATTTGAGGTATTAGAAGTGAGCCATATTGGTTTGCCTCTAAATGTGACCTTTTCTTCTTGTGGTCTTTAATATTCTTTCCTTATTTTCCATGTTAGGCATTTTGATTATGATATGTCTTCTAGAACTTCTTGTTTGAATAGGTCTATTTGGGGTCTTGCAAGCTTCCTGGATGTGTGTGTGTATGTGTGTGTGTGCGCGCACGCCTCTCATTTATGATTGTGGATAAATTTTCTATAACTATCTCCTTGAAAATTTTCTTTATTCCTTTAGCTTGTATCTCCATGTTGTATTCTATTCCAGTGATTCTCAGGTTTTGTGTCTTGATGTTGTCCCAGATTTCTTTTATATTCTGATTATGTTCTATTATTTTTTCCCTTTATTATTTTGTGTACTCAAATTCATGTGTCTTGTCTTTAAGGCCTGAAGTTCTGTCTCAAGGGCTGAAGTTCTATTTTCTACGTGATCTAATTTGTTAGTGATAATTTTAAGTAAATTTTTAATTTGGTTTATTGTATCATTTTTATGAGTTCTGATTGTTTTCTTTTTACTATTTCTATTTTTTTATTGAAGTGGTCTTTCATCTCCCTTCATTGGGGAATTGTGAATTTTGGGGGGAGATTTGTTCGCTATTTCCTTATGTTTTCAGAGTTCTTGTACTTGTAATCAATTGAGATAGATGTTCTTTCCTCTTTTTTATATGTGTCCTTTTGTTTGTAATTATCTTTTTGTCTTGGAGGTCTTTGTTTTTGATATATGAGGAGATGTCAAGGGGTCAGACCTGAGTTTCCTAATTGTTCTTCCTTGGGTCCTTGTTTTGGTTTGAAGCTTTTGTCTCCTCCATTCTTTGAGCTGGAGAATGTCAAAGCTCTGGTCAGGTTAAATTGTGTGTAGGGTGAGATTAACTGTTGCTTGTTTGAGATGTAGTTATTTCTCAGCTGCAGGATCTCTACTCTATGATCACAATCTCTTTCCAGGCCCGCTTAGAGGGGGACTCAGGAGTGGTACTAATGTCAGCAACAGATGTTCACCTTTAAGATAAATATCTGGTGTCTACTTTGACATCTGTAACACTAATTGCTGCATGTATAGGAATAAAAGTGAGGTCAGCATTTGACCACAGGACCAATAATTAAAAACCATGAATTACATTTGACAGTAGGTTGTCCAGTATATTAATAGTCACACCAACTTGAATGGGGTAGGAATTACATAGTCTAATAATTAGTTTGGGTTTTTTTTTAGGGGGGGGTACCAGGGATTGAACTCAGGGGAACTCAACTACTGAGCCACATCCCCAGCCCTGTTTTGTGTTTTATTAGAGACAGGGTCTCACTGAGTTGCTTAACACCTTGCTAAATTGCTGAGGTTGGCTTTGAATTCCTTATTCTTCTGCCTCCTGAGCCACTTGGATTACAGGCATGTAGTTTAGGTTTTTATCACTTCTATTCTTTGTATTAAAATGTAGCTGGAGATTAATTTGTGCATGAAGCCAGGTGTGCTGTCTTTTGGTTAATTTAGTTTAGCAATACAGTTTCTATCCGTAAACCTGTAGTATCCCTATAGTTTCCTAGCACCTCACAGAGTAGGGCAAAACAAACGATATTAAAAACTAATACAAATAGTATACAGCATTAAAATAAATACCCTGTCTCTACTATGACATCTACAACATTATTTACCACAAAACCCAGGAATGGTGGGGTCAGTAATTGTCAACAATGAAAACAATAATCATGAACTAGATCTAGCATTAAAGCAAACAGCAGGTGTCAATTATGTCATCCATAGCAATAATGATTGCATCAGTGTTAATAGTGGAAGCAGGAGTTATAGAAGCCAATTAGTTCCGAAAAATGGTAAAAATACAGTTAAATAGGGGAAAAGAAAAAGTGCTAGGAAGGTAGAAAAGAATGTACAATTTGAAAATGTGAATAGAGAGAATGCAGAAGAGATGTAGCAGGTGATATTCATAAGGAAGGAGCGGAAAATTAGGAGAAGTATAGTAAAGGGATCGTGGAAAAGAGAACAATAGAATTTGGCTGTTAGCAGAAGATAAGAGAGAAAGCCAAGAGAAACGAAAAATGAAAACCATATAAAACAAAGCAAAAATGTACAAAACCAAAAACCCTAACCCTCAAAATACAAGGCAAGGAAAAATGACTACATTAAAAAATGCTAAAAATGAGGAAAAAACTGTTTGCATATATTGCCACTAACCAAGATTTTTAATGAAAAATGAAGGAAATGTCTCCACTGAGGTAGTCAAAATGTTTGAACATGGATGGTCACTGACTGTACCCAGCTGTCTTTCTTTCCATTTCTTCTTGAGCTGTATACTGAAAGAAAGAGAACAGGAATAGGGGTTGTTAACCCCTTTCTGTTTTTGCTTTGTTCTCTGAGCTGCCAGTTGGAGTGACCTAAGACTGAAGCTGTTTGCTTCCCTTCTCACTGGTATGAAATGGGATGGATTAGGAAGTACTATCAGTGGAGGTTTGTCCATATAGACCAGGTCTGTGCACTCCCAGGCTTCTGCACAGTTCTGTGAGGGAAGTTCCATCAGGTGTGGCTTAGGTCTAAACAGGCCTCAGGGGCTTTGTTGGGTGGTTTCTGTTTCAACACACCCTGAGGGCTTGGCGGTGGCTGATCTCTGAAGGCAGTCTGAATCTCTCGGAGCCTCTCAAGAATTCCATTCATGGGGCAGGGGAACTAATCCTCTACTCCCTGTGCTGCCCACAAACACAACCTTCCAGGACTTAATCCCTGAATGTATTCACACTCACCTGTTTAGATTTTTGACTCACTTCAGCTAGTCACATGAATTACCAGACTCAAAGGAGAAGTGAGTTGGGCTTCTCTTTGGTTTTCCAACTTGACTCCCTCTGGGTACAGTCATTTTTTGTGCCTATTTCATGTACATTTTGCTAGGCCACTACATGGCAGTAATTGCAGTGATTGCTCTAATCTCTCCTGCAGCAGCAGCTACCAGCAAGGCTGCCTCAAGATGGCTCCTGCCTCAGCTCTCCTCTCCATGACCAGTTGAGAAACAGTGATTTTCAAGCACCAGTGCATGGTGTAACCTCTGGATCTGCTAAGTTCTAGCTGCTTTTTTTTTTTTTTTTTTGATCCCAGGTTTTCCCATAGCAAATCTGTTTCTCTGTGTTCTCCTTCCTTCCGTGATGAATTAGATAGAGCCTGTATTGCTGCTGCACTGAGCTGGTGCTACAGGAGGCTCAGCTTTAATTCTTTTCTTTTTGTTTGTTGTACCCAAACTTCTGAGCCCCTAAGACACTTTGAATGTTCAATATTTAATTTTAGTGAAATCCCTCCTTCATCCACTTCTCTGAGAAGCAATACTCCTTTTGCTTGAATCCTGAGCCACAGAACTACTAGGAGTACAGCCTTCATCTATATAATATTGATCAAATTTCTTAACCTCTCTGAGTCTCAATTTGCTTATTTGAAAAATAAGAACAATAACAGTATTTATCTCAAAGGGAATATGTGAGGATAAAATGGGTTAATGCAGGTAAAGTACTTGAAATGTTGTCTGGTACATAATGAGTACCCTATACTGAATTTGGTGGTATACTGTGTTTCTATATTTTATTTTGCTGTTCTGTGCATATTTCAGCATCTCTGAACTTAAGTGTCTTATGATTGATGGCATGTCAGAGTTTAGATTGCATCTTTTTTCTTTTTTAGTTATATGTAAGATAATGTGTTGTTTTTTTTTTTGAAAATTAGTGATATCTTAGATTTTGATGAAGTATCATATAGGGTATTATTCCTGCCTTCTGAGACAGTGAAGTTGTCTGTATTACTAAGGGCAGCTTCCAAGATTATTTTCTGACCCCATGTCCTTTTTTCCTTTAATCCTTAAAGCAAAAGGCAGATTACACATTCTTTTTAATACTTCCTCTTCTAGAGCAGACAGACTCCAAAAGAGTACTGATAGGGCCCCTGCTATTCATGAACATGTCATCTCCACGACCTTGAAAATACTGTTTTATCTACTCAGAGCACAACACTACACAACACATCCATCTCCAATGTTCTCCTCTCTGAGGAGGTCTTACCAAGTTCGTTCAAGGCCCCCTCTCTCTTATTATGCCAGGTTGACGGTTTCTGGGCACTCACAGATGATTTATCTCCTTCTAAGTACCCACTTGTGATCATTCATTTATATATCTGTCTCTGCTATTATATTGTGAACAAACTTTCTGTCTTGCCCATTCACTTTCATCTACCAATGTGGAATACTGCACTCCTTGTTTCAGTGTCTAGCCAGTGAATAGCAGCTGGCTAGACACTGAACAAGGAGTGCAGTAAGCATTCAGTGAGTGAGGAAATGAGTTCATGATTTGGCCTCCCCTTCAGCCCACTCCCACTCAGGACCCATGACACTCCCAATATGTTTCTTTCTCATGCATCCCCTAACACCAGACTCTCCTGTCTCCAGAATCCAAGCTGGACAGCACGAGGAAGGATATTCTTGCACAGGTACAGAATGAAAGCCGGATCCGCAGTCAGAAACTAATGACAGAGCTCACAGATTTCGTGCGAGTGTTCCAAATCATCAACTCAGACATTCATGCCATTGCCCGGTGCTGCCAGAAGGTAGGTTCTTCCCATCTGTCTGTCCCAGCTTATCTAAGGCCCATCCTTCCCAGAAGCTCAGGAAACTCTTCAGGTCTCTGCTGAACTTCCTAAAGGGCTTGATGTTCTTATGTATTCACATAAATGATCTGTCTTTGCTAATTCTTGCCCTGTTCACATGGCACATAGTTTCCTGGTGTCAGGAGGAGATACTAGTGTAAGGAAAAAGATAGGATCTTGCTTTCAGAGATACTGTTCTGCTCTCTGTGACAGCTAGTCAGATAGGACAATGTTGCCCAGTCATTAGGGTTATGATCTGGTGGGTAAGGAACTGCCTCAGAGAGTCCTGGGTCAGAGGGGGATCTGATCCCCTATTGTCCCTGATTCCATTTGTTGAAAGGCAGCAGCTTGTCCTAAAGCCTCTACTCCAGAAGGCAGGAATGCTCCTTGAGGATGGGCCTAAAGAGTTTCACAGGGTTGTGGGGGTACTGGTCTCATACTGTAATCCCTGCAGTTGAATGAAGCCAATGAACAGTACATCCAGCTGGAGGAGAGAATGGAATATATCCAGTCACTTCTGGAACTCATCCGCAACCATTTTAGCTTCTATAGTGATGAGAATGAGAAATTAGACATCTCGGTAAGAGGGGATTTCAGGGAGTCAGCCATCCCACCTGGTCCCCATCCTCCACAACCACATCTATGCCACTTCCCTCTGCTTGTTCCACAGCTTCTGGATATGTGGGAGGCATTTCAGTTTGAGAGAAGCCAGGCCTCAGAGATCCTGCTCAGCAAGCAACATGCCATTGTGCCCAAGCTACAGCAGCTGATGGCAGCAGCATTGGCACAGTTAGAAGGTCTGCTGCAGAAAGCCCTGTCTGGTCCCTTCATGGACCCTGAACAAGAGCAAAGGAGCATTGAGAACCAGCTTATTGCTTTGGAGCATCAGTACCAGGACACAGTCAGCCGCCTCAATGAACTACACCATGCTTATGTGACCTTCACTGGTAATGAGGACCACCCCCCACCCCCCCCCCCCCCCCCGCCCCATTGTCCCATGATCAGTCTCTAACTGAGATAAGGTTGGGACTCAGTCATGTGTCCTGTGTGATTCTAAGCAAGTCTTAGGAATCTTATACCTTCATTGGTCTCTTTTATAAATGAACAAAACCTTCATATATTGGGTATTTTAGGTATTGTACTTAGGTGGGAATATAGAAGGCTCAGTCTGGTAGGGAAGGCAAACAGTTGAGTGTTTCATTAGAATGTGATGGAGCTAAATACTATGCAGGAGAATTGTGTGCCATCACTGTAGAACTAAGCCTTTGTGTAGTTTTGTTCAATGTATTTCTATATGAAGGAGCAGCCCCCGCAAAAGAATGTCTTTTTATATATTTTTTTAGATATACATGACAGTAGAGTGTATTTTGACATATTATACATATATGGAGTACAACCCATTCCAATTAGGGTCCTACTTTTGTGGTTGTACATGATGTGGAGTTACACTTTGTAAATTCATATATGAGCAAAGGAAAGTAAAGTCCAACTCATTCTTTTGTCTTTCCTATTCCCATTCCTTTCCCTTCCCTTCATTCCCCTTTGTCTAATCCAGTGAACTTCTATTCTTCCCTCTCTACCCTCCCTTTTTGTGGGTTAGCTTCCACATATCATAGAACATTTGGCCTTTGTTCTTTTGGGACTGGCTTGTTTCATTTAGCATGATGTTCTCCAGTTCCCTTCATTTCCTGGCAAATGCCATAACTTCAATCTTCTTTAAGGCTGAGTAATATTCCATTGTGTATATGTACCACATTTTCTTTATCAATTCATCTGCTGAAGGGCACTTAGGTTGGTTTCATAGGTTAGCTATTGTGAATTGAGCTGCTATCAACATTGATATGGTTGTATCACTACAGTATGCTGATTTTAGGTTCTTTGGGCATAGACCAAGGAGTGGGATAACCAGATCAAATGGTCATTCCATTCCAAGTTTTCTGAGAAATCTCCAGCTGCTTTTCAGAGTGGTTTCACCAATTTTCAGTTCCACCAGCAATGTATGAGTATATCTTTTCCTTCACATCCTTGCCAACATTTATTGTTGCATGTATTCTTGACAATCGCCATTCTGACTAGAGTGAGATGGAATCTCAGTGCAGTTTTAATTTGCATTTCTCCAATTGCTACAGATATTAAATATTTTTTCATGTATTTGTTGACTAATCATATTTCTTCTTCTGTGAAGTGTCTGTTCTTTTGCCTATTTATTGATCAGTTTGTTTTTTCGGTGTTAAGTTTTTTTGAGTTATTTATATATCCTGGAGATTAATGCTCTCTTTTAAGTGCAGGTATTAAAGATTTTCTCCAATTCTGTAGGATCTCTCTTCATATTCTTGATTATTTCCTGCTGCTTTCCTGGCGACCTAAACACTCAGACTTTTTAGCCCACCCAGGGACATCATTCCCCGGGTTTCTTGCACCTAAAACGGGTCACTCCAGGTAAACTGAAATAACTGGGCCCACAAAATAACCACACAAGAGACAGAAATACCTTTTTCTTTGGTTGTGTTGTGACAGCTCCTCTGACCTTAAGGGTCTGCAGAAAGGGGGAGAGAGAGAGCCCACAGGTGCTGACCCCTTTTATTCAGGAGAAGCTATTCAAATGAGGCAAGGAGTCAGGTTTCAGGGGGCTAAGTCTAGCTTCATGATGTCTGCTGTCAGCAGTTGACTGACATCTAGGAAGGCCACACCCAAGGGCAGAGTAAGAAAAGGGAACACAGAAAGGGGGTTTCCATGGAACATTCTATCCCAAACAGGGCAAGGGGTAATATTACAAGGGAATAGGTAAGCATAGCTCCACCCATGGGGCTGTAGGAAGGCACGTCCATGCATGAGACACAGTCGCTGGAACCCTAGAAGACCCGGGCTATCCAGCTGCCACACCTTTCAGCAGAGTCAGACCCAGTCACATGCTGGCTTGGCCTCCCACAGTTTCCTTTGCTGTGAAGAAGATCTTAGTTTGATACCATCTCACTTATTGATTCTTGATTTTACTTTTTTTGCTTCTGGCGTATTATTGAGGAAGTCAGTTCCTGAGCTGACGTGATAAACATTTGGGCCTACCTTTTCTTCTATTAGATGTAGGGTCTCTGGTTTAATTCCTAGGTCCTTGATTCACTTTGATTTGATTTTTGTGCACGGTAAGAGATAGGAGTTCAATTTCATTCTACTACATATGGATTTCCAGTTTTCACAGCAACATTTGTTGAAGAGGCTATCTTTTCTCCAATGTATGTTTTTGGTGCCTTTGTCTAGTATTCGATAACCACATTAATGTGGGAATGTCTCTGTGTCTGCTAAAGAACGACATCTTGATGTTACAGTAGCCAATATGGTCTAGAGGGAAGGCTGCCAAGGGCCTTACCAGCCCACAAAACAGGACAGATGTGTTCATTTAGCCCTTCTATACAGTCGAGCAGGTAGGCTAGTTCCCATCTGTAAAACAAAAACAAAAACATTGTGGGCTGGAGTTTCTTTTTTCAGATTTATCTCTTGGAAAGACACATTATTTGTGAGTTGCTCCTTTGCCAACTACCAACTACTACCATATCTTCCTGTGAGCATCCCCAATCTCAGGGCTCTTTGGTCAGATAAGATAGAGGACACTCGAGAACCACTCTCAAGCTTCTTTAGCAGTGTAGTGAGAAGCCCTTAGCATATACTCTTACCTGATGTGGACCACAAACCTTGACCTTTTCTGTAAGGGGCTGGGATAATTTGTGAAAAATCACAGTAGAGAATTCAGGCCTTGTGGTTTTAGGCCCAAAAAACCCAACAGCATTGCTTTTACTTCTTTCTTCCATCCCTATCTCCTCACCAAACTCCCAGTTAAAATGACCTAGGATTTTAGATCCAGGTGGTTTAATAACTACCCACAAATTTTAAATCATGGTTCTTCTGTTTTAGTCATTACTTTTAGAATTTGCTTTATTTTATAACCATGTGAACAACTATTTTGACATATGAGGTTTACTGGTTTTGTTTACTTACTACCATTTATTTTAAATACCACATCTTTTAATTCCTTCCTCAGATGGCTTAGAGTATTTCTCTGAGTATTTTTTCAAAGAAGGGAGTTGTAGACATTAAAATCGTTGTGCTCCTTATATGCTGAGAATGACATTAAAATGTCACAATTTAGGTAAATATTGACTTTTGAAATCACAGATTTGTTTTCAAACTTTGATACTGAATCATTGACTTCCAACATTTAGCATTGGATCAGATATATCTGGTATCAGTCTGATTTTTCTTTTGTATCAATTTATCAATTCTTTTATAATTACTTATATGTGCTATGGTCTCTTTATAGAATTTTTTACTGTATGTTGACTATACTAGATCTCTCTTTCATTTATTTTCTTAATTCTCACACATTCTTTTATTCCTTTGAGTTCTAGATAAAAATTATGAGCTTGTATTATAAACTTCTATCTTCTATGTATCTAGTTTATCTTTTTCATTGTATTTTAAAGTACCCATTTATTCTATGTGTATGCATGCTTATGTATACATGTTCATGCATGCAAGTGGGTGTTTATGTGTGTGTATACATGCTTATGTATCCTAGCTATATTTGCTGAAGATGACAAAAACAAAGATGCTCCACTAGCAAGAGCCACGTTGTGCTCAGATCTATTTCTAATACTGTTTCCCACTGAAAGGAACCAGGGCTACTCAGAGTAATGGATGATTCTGAGAACTGTGGTAGGGAAAGTACAAGATGAGTCTGGAGTATCTTTTATACCAGAAAGTAAGGAAGTGTTACATTAACAAAGTGATGGTAGCTTGTCACAAGGATATGGGAGGGATGTCAACAGGCCAAATCTGAGACAATCTGAGCAACTAAGTAATATAGTAACAAATTCTAAATTATATAAAAAAAAACTCCAGTAATTTATTATACATCTTAATATTAAATAAATAAATAAAGATAAATAAGTATAGATTCGTGCTTACAGTAGAATACCAAGAGCTAACTGGCAAATGTGAAGAGAGGGCTGGAGTGGTAACATTCTGTAACTGTTACTGGAGTAAAGATCTAGTTAGTCAAAGCAAAAGACAAAGGGTTAGCTGGGTACATCAGTACTCACCTGTAATACTAGTGTCAGGAGGTTGAGGTAGGAGAATTTCAAGTGCAAAGCCAGCCTAGGAAACTTAGCAAGACCTTATCTCAAAATTGAAAAATAAGGAGGGTTGGGGATATAGAACAGTGGTAGAGCACCGTGGGTTCAATTCTCAGTAATAGGGGAGAGGGGCTTAATTTGTTGAGGCAGGGAAAGTTACTATTAGAAAAGCCAGCTCAACAAGAAGAAAGAGGACTACTATTACAGAGTCATTCTTGCTAGGAGACTGAGTGTGGCTTATATTGGTGGTTGGTGGGTGTGCCCAGACTGGTGAGCACCTTCCAGCTTCAAGAGGGCTGGATGATACATATCTTATCCTGATTACTTAGCCATGAGGTGTTTTCGGTTTCTATAAGTCTCAAAAACAAAGACCATTATTTCTTTTGGCGGTTCCTGGGCTGATTAGCTACGTATTTATTATACAATGGACCAGAAAGAGATGGGGATAACTACCCCAAGGTCCTCTTGACTGTCAAACTCTTGGTAAAGAAAGAGAACATCCTTTCTTTATATACACTATAAACTCCTGGCAATTAAATTAAAACATCCTTCCTCAGCTATGTGAAACAAAGGCACAAAAACATCCCAACACTTGATTTCATAGACCATCATAATAAATATTGGATAAAGTAAGGATCATCAATGGATGACAAATCTGGGGCAAGTTTGATGAGGAGCAGAATTAAAACCATTTTAGAGTCAAACCTGAATAACTGAGGAAGCAAAAGAAACAGTAATTAATTAGTGGAGAAATTCAGAAATTTAATCAAAATTAAGATCACCAGTGAAAAGCAGGCATATGTCTCCTGATATCATACAGGAAGGAAGACACACATCACCTATGCTGTGGTCCAGCTGAGAATTGAGTAACATCATGAAAAAAAATCATAAAAATACAGTTTGAAGAACTTTCTTGTAACAAAAAAAGGAAGAATGAGGACTATATGGTATTTCAAAAATGTTTGTTACAAAAGACAAAAACTATGGAAATGTTCCAGATTTAAAACTTAAAAGACATGACAAATAAGAGCAATATTTGACCCTAAATTATATATTATACCTGAGGGGAATCAGTGCTATAGAGAATATTATTAATTGACAAAATTGGAATGAGGAATATAAAAATATTGTAGTTGTGATATATTAATTAATTAAAATTAATTTAACTCAATAACTTAGTAAGGCCCTAAGCAACTTAGTGAGATCCTGTTTCAAAAAAATAAAAAATAAATAAAATTAAAAAGGCTAGGGATGTAGCCCAGTATTAGAGTACCCTTGAGCTTAATCCCCAGGAAAAAAAAAATTTGATAATCATCTTATGATTATATAAGATAGTATTCTTATTCTTAGAAAGTACACACTTTGGGCATACATTTTGGGATAAAGGGATAGCCAAGATTTATGTAACTTATCCTTAAATAGTTCAGAAAAAAATTTGTATTTGTGTTCTCATGCCCATATACATAGAGAGTATGTGAATACAAATAATAAAGTAAATGGTTAAATTTTAATAAGTCTACCCAAAATTATTCACTTGAGTATTTTTCCTTGTAAAACTGAATTTTTTTTTTTAAAGAGAGAGTGAGAGAGGAGAGAGAGAGAATTTTTTTTTTAAATATTTATTTTTTAGTTCTCGGTGGACACAACATCTTTGTTGGTATGTGGTGCTGAGGATCGAACCCGGGCCGCACGCATGCAAGGCGAGCGCGCTACCGCTTGAGCCACATCCCCAGCCCCTAAAACTGAAATTTTTGAAATCCTTTCCAGATAAGACATTTTAAAATGCAATGGAAATTACTGAATAGATAATATAAAAATGTTCACTGAAAAAAAAAGAGAGAGAAATGTGCTAATTCAGTAGCTTGTGAGATGAATGGAGGAAATAATTGCCAATGGCAAACACAATAAGGAGCTTCACTATTTATCCCTATGCAGTCCAGATTTTCTTTCATAGTTATCTCCCTGGACTTCCCTTAGGCTATTCATTCACTGATTCATTCACTCAGCAGATATTCGTTATATGCCTGCTGTGTACAGGCTTGAAGTACATTAAGGAACAAATGACAAATCCCCATTTTAGTCAGAAGAAAAAGACAACAAATGATAAACATAAGATAAAATTAAATTATGTAGTGTATTAGAAAGTGATAAGTGATCCAGGGAAGAAAAAAACTGTTGAGAATGCTAGGAAGGGAAGATAGCAGTTTTTATGGGACAGTTACATAGTCCTCATCATGAAGGTGCTATATGAGCAAGGACTTGGAGCTGGCATGGGCATGAGCTATGTTATTCTCTGAGGGAATCGTGTTCCAGGAAGAATGAACTGTAATCACTCACACACAGCACTTTTTTTCTGATATTATGGGCTCTTGACTGACCATTCCCCAACTAGCTCAGGTCTTAGCCAGCCCTATTTCACAGGAGATGACAGTCCAGTGCCTCTGCCAATCTGTGGAACTCGTCCTATCGTACTGCAGCAACACATATGGCACCTGTACCGAGTGATCTCTGAAAACATCAGTGAATGGAAGTGCATGGCTTTTGCCAAGGTGCTAATACACCTCCTTAGAACTTTTGCCTGGGAATAAGGATTGCAAGGGTGGGGTTAGAGGAGGGTTTCAAGCTGAGAGTGAGCCCTTTTTCCTTTAGTTCAACCTGTCTATGGCCCGGGAAAAGACAAATAGCTGGCTGACAGAGGCAGCACGGATGAGCACCACCCTGGGACTGCATAGTCCAGTGCTGCAACGCTGCATGCGCATGCTGGAAGAGTTCCGTAGCTATCTGCCCTTGCTTACCAAACTGGGCAGCTTGCAGCTGCAGAACCCTAACTACCAATCCCTCCTGAGAGGTATGTTTGGTTAGAGTCAGAGGGGAGAGGAAAGTGGGGATGCAGAGTATAGAACAATGTAACAACTTAATTCTTTTGTTGTTTTTGCTGAAAACATCTTTCCTCTCTAACATCTTTCCTCCCTAGACTTCTCCCCGCTTTCCCCCCAAATACCATAATATTCTTTTTCCAACAGATAAGAAAATTCTAATCTCCTTTCTGTAGGCTACCCTTTGCTGACTTGGAGGGGATGATAGTGGCTGGGCTTTGCTTGGGGTCTTGGTTCTGAGCTCTGTACTGTGCTTTGCATCTTGGGTTCTGAGCTTTTGTGCACTAAGATCTGCAGTCTGGGCTGGGCTCTGGGTCTTGCATCTGGACTTATGGTAGAATTAAACTCTAAAACATGGGTGAGATTCTGTCACATGCTGGGTTTTCTTCTGACTTATCTCTTCTACCTCTAGCTTTAGGGCTGAACATTCACAATATGGAACTCCTAACACTGGGCCAGCTGCTCGCTTGTCCGCTGCTGGAGTTTGCAGATCGAATCAATCAGGTGGGGGTCTACAGGAGAGAGTTAAAAGAGGTGGTCCAAGCCCAATACCTGTAATAGAGTCAATCAAGGGCTAGTAGTTCCTTGAAACACAGGGGCAGTAGATGTTGGCATGTAAGAACAAGTCCTTAAGTCTTCAGATGATCTGATGGGTGATTCTAGACACTATATGACTGAATGTTCTCCCTAGGAGAAGGAAATGGGTAGCAACCTCTAAGTGGTAGGCACACAGAACAGCAGATGTCCCCTAACATTTACCCTGTCCCAAAAGAGAACAAGCTTATCAAAGTATTATCTGCTCAGTGAGAGCCTTGCACAAAGGTAGGTTTTAACCTACCTGGGCTATCTTTGAAGCCTGATGGTCTCACTCTTCCTCCATCTCTGAGACTTTTACTTCCTGAACCCTGTCCCTTGAGTTTGTCTCAGACTCAGTCCCTAAGTCCTTGCTTTAAAGCTTTCTCCTCAGCCATCTGCCAGTCCTGGCATCTGAGACCCAGGTGTTCCAGGTCTGGCAGTGTGAGAATGAACGAATTCATGCACAAGAGAGCCTGAAACAGCTGCAGAAATACTGGGAAACGTGCCATCTACGCCTGCTCAACTTTATCCTGCATGTACCCTATGAGCCCCCAGCCTCAGAGCACTCTAAGAGGCAGGCCCTCCGCAACCCTCAGTGGGAAATAGTGGGCAAGGACAGTGGCACCTTCATTCTTTCAGGTGAGACTCAGCTCTTGTGACCTCATGAATGCCTTCTGCCTGGGACCATTTTCATCTATTACATCTACCAAGTCCTGCCATATCTAGTTTCTTTAGCTAGGGCCCAATCATTACTGGGTAGCCTGAGGGATCAGTCTGTTCTGACAATTTGTCTTCCATGTAGCTCTCATACTCTTAATCTCCATGGGATATCTGTCCCCTGCCTACACACACACACACACACACACACACACACACACACACACATCTTCCTCCTAGCAAGGCGTGGCTCCTTCAGAGATGGTACTTTCTTTTCTGGATGTAGTAAAAAATAACCATTCCTCGTGATTATTTTGTCTTTCAATGCTTTGTCCTCTAGATTGCACCCTAATGATTCATCCTCATTCACTCATTCTTTCTTTCACTCATATCCTTATTAAACTTACCAGCCTCCTCTGTGCCAAACACAAGAGACTCTGAGGTTTACAGAGAGTAGCCCTGTCCCATGGAATAATGCCACCTCAGCTTTTTCCTCCACAGACTACAGTAGCTTACAAGATTCTATACATGGAAGTCTTCAGACGTTGTTTAAGATACTGGCCATCCAAAAGTCAGGAGACTTACACAAAGTAGCTTTGGAGTGGGTGACCATCATGAATAGCCTGAGTGAGTGCAGGCCTTTAGCTGGGCTGATGGATGGAACCTGAGGTGGGATGGCCAAGAGGGATGGGGGTAAGAGGTGGAGGCTGATTGGAGAATATCTGAAGAACAGATTGAGAATCTCCTTCAGAGATACTTATTCACATGGGGTGACCAGGTCTTTATTTACAATGAATGATTTATTTCCCCTAACAAGGTCCCTGGGTCCTGATGAGCAGAGTATTTTGGTTGGGCTTATGGGGGTACCCATGAGGCCAGGAACAGGCTGGACCTACTTGCAGAAGCTAGTACTCTAGTGTCTCTCTCCAGTGTCCCTCTGGCTGCTTCCATAGGTGCCCTGCTAGAGGTGTGGGTGATGTTCCAGCAGAAGTGGATTTTTATAAACAAAGTTCTACATGAGATGAAGATCCAATTTCCCAGTGCTGATCTGGTAGGGAGTGGAGTCGAGGCAGAGTGGGCAAAGGCTCCTGAATAGTGGTGGAGTGGGGAGTTGCAATTTCACATTTACACTCATTTTTACCCTCTCCTTCACCACAGAATGCTCGTTTCAAGGTCATGGATGATCAGTATCGAACCCTGATGCGCATCTCTGTAGCTGACCCCATGGTTCTGTCACTTATAATGCCCAATGCCAAAAGGAGCCCTTATTTCCAAGGCCAGCATCTACAACAAATGCTGCAAGCAGGATCAGTGGAGCTGGAGAGCATCATCATGGCTCTAGAGAGTGTGCTCTATGGTGTATGTGCCCAATTCCCCCGCCTTTTCTTCCTTAGTGATAGTGAACTCGTGGCCTTGCTAGCTGCCCCTCTAGAGTCATGTGAAGCCCAGATGTGGGTCAAACGCTGCTTTTCTCATGTGCGTGCTGTGAACTTCCAGTCCATCCCCCAAAATAATGAGAAAAACATGGATGACCAGGAGTCGAGTCCAAACAGACAAACTCAGGTAGAGACACTGGCTGTGCTAGGGGAAGGTGGGGAGGAAGTGAAGCTGCAGCAGCCCCTTCTTCTGCATCCAGATCTCCCCAAGTGGCTGGCCTCTTTGGAGAAGTGTCTGCGTTTGATACTAGTGCACAAACTGCAGGATTGTGTGGCTGCCCGCCTTACTCTTGTTAAAGGTGAGGCCTCTAACAAGCTGCCTCAGCAAAACCAGTTGGCCCTGCAACTAAATGTCCAACACTGGCTAGATTTAATCCAGGCCTTCCCATGGCAATGTATACTGATAGCAGAAGAAGTGGTGTGGCGAGCTGAGATGGAGGAGGCTCTGCTTGAGTGGGGGTCCCTAGCCATGACTTCTAGGCATATAGGCAAGCTAGAGGTACTGGTGCAATTTATACGAGCCCAGAGGAGCTCCAAGGGTGGACAGCCTCTGCCCTCTGTCCGCCAAGCCAGCCTGTTTAGTGCTCTACTGGTTATGGCAGTAACTCACCGGGATATAGCACAACTGCTAGAGAAGCATCACGTCAGTGATCTGACAGACTTTCACTGGGCCCGCCAAATCAAGTATCACCTGGGTTCACCTCATTTGATCCCCAAAAGTCCCCTGCAGAGTCTTATGACTACTATATCTAAGGAATCCTCTCTGACACCAGCTGCATGCTGGATAGATGTGCTGGGCCGGTCCTTCCTATACAATTATGAGTACTTTGGTCCCAGACTGAGGCCACTACCCAGCCTGCTGCCTGAGAGGCCAGTGCTGGTTCTATTATTGGCCCTGGAGGAGGTGGCTTGTGGGACTCTACTGGGCCCTGATGGTGTGGGTAAGAAAGGGTTGGTGAATAGCCTGGCACAGGCTCTTGGCCGCCAGCTGGTAATGATGCCCTGCTTGCCTCAGACAGAAGTCCGATGCCTGAGCAACTACTTGAATGGTGCCCTGCAGGGTGGTGCCTGGCTGCTATTGGAGGCAGTTCACCACTTGCCTCCTGGCTTGCTGTCTGCCCTGGGCCAGCGCCTGGCTGAACTGCAATACCTCTGTGCCCCACTGTACCAGGAGGCTTCCCAAAGCACCAGCACCATAGATCCCACTAAGCCTCAGTTTCTTGGCACTGGCTTCTTTGAGAAACATCATGTGTCTGTGTGCTTCGGCTACGGCTGTCTCCTGACACTGCGTGCCCTGAGCCCTGTTGTGCCTGCCAACCTGCACCTGCTACTGAGGCCTGTGGCACTAGCACTGCCTGACCTACAGCGAGTAGCAGAGCTGACCCTGCTGGGTGCAGGTGTACGTAATGCCTCACTCATGGCTACTCGCCTATCCAAATTCTTCTCCTTAGAGCGTGAGCTGGTGTCTGGGCATCTGCCCTGCCGCTTGCCACTGCTCAAAAAGATACTAGAAGATACAATACAGACACTAAATGAGACCAATAAGGAGGAAGTCAACTTCCAGAAGTCCAGCAGCCAATCAGCCATGGAAGAAGCTGCCCTACTGCGTGCCCTGCTACACTCACCACTGTTCAGCATCCTTGATGGGCCCCACTTACACAACCTCCAAGAGCTGCTCAGTGGCATTTTCCCTAGTGCTAGCCAAGTGTTAGCAGAGCCTATGGTCCACAGGCTGATGAAGCCATTGGTGGTGGAGGAACTGCGGCAGGTAGGACTGTATCCTGGCTCTGACATTTTGGGGTCTCTGGAGCAGCTGAGTCAGGCCCTGAGCCGGGCCTCAGGCATTCTCCTCCTGGGCCCTGCAGGAAGTGGAAAAACTGCTTGTTGGAATGGCTTATTTAAGATTCAGAATCGGCTGGCAGCTCTGGAGAATACCTCAACTCAAGGCTGCCAACCTGTGGAAATTACTCACCTCTACCCCAGTGTTCTCAGTTCCCAGGAGTTTCTAGGAAACCTAGAGGGCCCCTGCTGGCACCATGGTGTCTTTCCCAGGCTGCTTCGTGCCCAACCTCGTTGTAATAGCATGGGCCCAAAGGAGCAGGGAGAAGAATTGATGGGGATGCAGCACTGGATAGTATGTGATGGGGCCTCTAGTGCTGCTTGGCTGGACTCCATTACTTGCCTCCTGAGTGACTCTTCCCAGCTTAGCCTCCCCAACGGTCAACAGATAGCACGACCCCCAGGTACGTTTTTCTTGATGGAGATAGCAGATGCAAAAGGCATGTCCCCAACAGTGGTGGGCCATTGTGCTCTAGTCTGGTGTGGTGGGGACCAGACTTGGCAGTGTATGCTTAGCATCTTGATGACAGCCCTGCCCCATGAATATCGCTTACAGTCCCAGACAATCACTGAGCTCAACCACCTGGCTGAAGTTCTAGTGCCTGCAACATTCAGATTTCTTACCTGCAAGCATGCCAGTTCTCTATTGCAGGTACATGGGCAGCAGGCTGTTTGCCCAGGTGTGGCAGAAGTCACCAGCCTGGCACGTATCTTGCGTGGTCTGCTTGACCCCCACCTGCGCCTAGATGAGGAAAAGAAGGCACATTCAGGTGGGAAGATGGAAGGCTGATGTGAGAGGTACAGGGTCTCTAGGGTAGCTGGGATATAGCTGGAGCCAGAAATATGGGGTCTTGGTGGAGCTGGGCCAGGAGACTAACAGTGAGAAGTAATATGGGCAACTTCTACTGCCCACCCTCTTCCCTGACTCCTACATTTTGCCTACTTGGACTCCTGTTTTGCTTGTGGTGACCATTGCAGAAGACCTCAGCTCTAGTGATCCTGTGGCCCAACACTTAAGGTCTTCAAAAAGTGGCTCTCTGAACCAGTCCCAGGCTGACAGTGATGATATGACAAATAAGCACCGGGAACACTTGCTGGTTGTCAGCAGCTTCCTTTTTGCCCTGATTTGGGGCTTTGGAGCCCACCTCCATTCCAGGTACATATAGGGGTAGTGGATGGGGGATGAAGAAGGCTGAGATAGACTCATCCATGGCAGTTAAAACTCATATGACATCACTGTGGGTATATGGTATATTGTATGTGTCACAGATGGAACTGACACTTTTGCCTGTGTGTCCATCTGAGCAGACTTTGGCCCCTCTTTGATACCTTCATGAGGAGTTCTATTAGTTGCATCTCCAACTACCCTGAACCACCACAGTCAGCCTCAGTGTTTGATCTGCATGTAAACACCGAAGATGGGACACTAGTCCCCTTCACTGGCCAGTACCTGAGCAGTCGTGTCAAGGGAACTCTGGGCACCTTCTACCCATCCACCCAGGTATAAAGCACAGTGGGTCAGCAGCTAGGGTTGGAACTTGTGGCTACATTAGGAGCAGTCCATGTTGAAGGCCCATCTAAGGCCCTCTTGCTTCTTTTCTTTCTTTTGGTTTTTCTTTCTCCTCCTCCTTCTCCCCCTCCCCTCCCCCTCCTCCCTCCTCCTCCCTCCTCCTCCCCCTCTCCTTGTCCTCTCTCCTCCCTGCCTCCCCACCCCCTGGGTTGAACTCAAGAGTACTAGGGAGTGCTTTATCAAGGATCTATATTCCCAGGCCTTTTTATTTTTATGTTTTTATTTTGAGATAAGATCTTGCTAAGTTTTCTGGTGATGTCACTAATTTGCTGAGGCAGAACTCAAACTTGCAATCCTCTTATCTTAGCCTCCCAAATTACTGAATTACAGGCATGCACAGTTGTGCCCAGCTCCCATTCTTTGATTTTCAGTTCATAAGAGAACACTTGTAATGTTCTCCCAAGTACAGCTTTAAGATAAGCCCCCATAGAACTGTATTTTCAATGATAACTGCCCTATCCCTTGCCTCAGTAAGCCTTGTTTCTGTCCTGCAGACTGAACGGCTCTTATATGTGGTGGACCTGCTTTTGTCAAGAGGACAACCAGTGCTCCTTGCTGGAGAGGCAGCAACAGGAAAGTCAGCCTTTCTGGAGGCGCTTGTGAAGCCAAATCACTCTTACATATCAAGTAACATCCACCCTGCCTTCAGTTCTGCTCACCTTCGCCTCTTGCTGAGCAGAGGGATCCAGGGCCAAGCACAAGCTAGTCCATGGCCCGGGCGCCAACCTGATAATAAAAGCTCTCTCCTCTTCCTGCTGGAGGATCTGCACCTGGCCACTTCTGGTGAGGAGATGGGAGGAGGGAAGGAACTACTGTCATCTCATGAGACTATAAAATTCTTAGCAATATTAATTGGCTCTCAAATATGTGTCTGTAGTTCAAACTTCAGTGTTTCATCTTTTTTCTTTTTTTAATAGATAGACACAATACCTCTATTTATTTATTTATTTTTGTGTAGTGCTGAGGCTCAAACCCAGCACCCTCGTACAGACTAGGCAAGTGCTCTACTGCTGAGCCACAACCTCAGCCCTCAGTTTTTCATTATTAATATCTTATCTCTACATATGTTCCCTGAGCTTCATGAGAATGGAAATTTGTCTAATTCATTTTGCTATATCTGACGTGAAGTAAATGCACAATAAGAGTTTATAGAAGAGATAAAGGAAAGGAGAGAAATTATGATGTAGGTTTGGGATATTCAATTTTAAAAGTTCTAAAGTGTTATAGCTCCAGATGATGACATGTTCTAAATATGATCACAAGGATAAGTATAAGAGGTTTTTGAAGTCAGGGAAGTCAGTGGATCAAGGCATTGGATGGGTTTCCAGTCAAACACTGAAGTCCTTCATGGGATATATTAGTGCTTAAATAGTAGTAAAAGGTACAATTTACTATGTACTAAAACTTAAAAGCTTTATATCTCATTTAGGGTTTGTAAAAACCTGGTGATATGGAATTTATTGATTACTTTCAAGATGAAGAATCTTATACCACATGAGCAGAATCAAAAGGAGATCTGCATCTGGTGTCTGGGCATCTGCCTTGTCGCTTGCCACTGCTCAAACAGATATTAGAAGTATCTAGTGTGGACCAGCAATTGCTGGGCTGTGCACTGATTTAAAATCTCTAGAGCAATTGTCATTCAGTGAAGAGATTGTAGCATACCTAAACCTAAACCCTGCCTCTAGTAGGAGTTCAACCTCCAGGATTAACCCCCCAAGGGTGGAGCAAGCGTCATACTCCAGATAACCCTACCTAACCTCAGAGAAAGGAAGCTAGAATCTTTTGAACTCCAACAGAAACAATTGTTCAATTTTTCATTGGAATCCTTTTTTTCTTTTCTTTTTCTTTTTTCTCTTACATTTCTACCATTTTTAAAACCAATTTTTTTTCATGCATCAATTTATTGAGAACTAGGATTAGTATATTTCAGTTTTGTATTCTTTTATTTTTACTTTTTTCTGGTTTTAATTTTTTAAAATATATACTATGTATATATTTTTCTCTCACTTATTCATGCCCCTCAAGTCTCTTTCTCTCTTTTATTCTGCTAACAGTCAACCTCTACTATTCTCTCTTCACACTTCCTATAATTTTTTACTTCTATTTTCTCTCCTCCTCCCTCATAAACATCACATCCTACAACATTTCTGTTCTCTATATGTCCAGCATTTGAGATTGTAAAACTTTTTGCAAACTTACTGTTTTATTGTAGTCAATAATTGATCATATTATTTCTGTTTATTACAACAAAATTGTAGATGTCTTAGGAGGAGCTACTTGGTTTAAGGCTGTATATTGTTTGCATTGGTTGCTGTTATTTTTTTTCTCTCCCCCTTAATGGCAAGGTACTGGAAACATTCAGGAACAATATAAGTCTACAGGGTAGAAACTGTACTGCCTCAGACCCATACTTATAGATAAGTAGCCACACAAACAATATGAAAAGGGAACAAATCCCCTCAAATGAAACCAAGATGCTGCAATAATAGAATGCAGTCACACCTCAGTAGAAGAAATGTCAGAGAAGGAGTTTAGAATGTACATAGTTAAATTGATCTGTGAGGTTAAGGATGATGTAAGAAGTGGAATCAGAGAAAATTCGGGAGGTGGAAGATCACTTCAAGCACTAATCTGCAACATAAATAAAGAACTTAAAAAAATAATTACCAAAAAACCAAATAACCCAATCAATAATAAATGGGCTTCTTCTTCATAGTAGAAATCACAGTTGATCAACATACATGAAAAGAATGTTCATCATCTCTAGCAATTAGAGAAATGCAAACAAAAATTAAGATTTCATCTCACTCCAGTAAGAATAGCAATTATCAAGAATATAAGCAACAATAAATGTTGATGAGGATGTGGGGAAAAGGTATACTCATACATTGCAAATTGGTGCAATCATCCTGGAATGTAGTATGGAGATTCCTCAGAAAACTTGGAATGAAACCACCATTTGACCCAGCTATACTACTCCTTGGTATATAACCAAAGGCTTTCAAATCAGCATTCTTCAGTGACACAACCACATTTATGTTGATAGCAGCTTAACTCACAATAGCTAAACTATGGAACCAATTTAGGTGTCCTACAACAGATGAATTAATAAAGAAAATGTGGGGGGATCCAAGATGGTGAGCTAGAGCAAGGCTGCATTCCTCGTTGCTCCATGACATGGGATTCAAACAGTGGGAATACTGTTTCTCTGCAAGTTATTAAAGGATCCCCACAGTTGCTCATGCACAGGACCCCCGGCCATCGTTCCTTATGGACCCCCATCTACCAGCATGGGGCTCCCCTGGTTGCATCCATCTTGGGATACTTCAACTACTGCCATAGTCGCCTGCAACTGGGGACACCGGACAGGGTATGGAGACAGCTGCCAGCCATAACCCTGCATGCCACAGAGCTTCATCTTTGAACATGCTGCCTAACGCCACTGCCTGGCCTCACCTGACACTTCATCTCCGAAAGTAGCCACCTCCATCTTGGGACACCTTTGTCGCAGACTTTGATTATCCTTGCTACCACCAGCACTATCTTTACTTGGGGCAACCCCCAGCTTGGGACACAAGCTGGGGTCTAGAAACAATATCAAGATACCTATAGTCTCTCAACTCTCCCCTCTCCCCCGCAGCTACTAACCTGGCACAGTGTTTGCAGCTACATGGCTGGTCCATACCTCGCAAAGACTGGTTCTGATCTGCCTGATACAAAACAGCTCTCTGTGACAGGTGCACAGGCCCCAGAGCACAGCCCGCAAGACCTCCAAAGAGAAAGGCTCCTGATTGGGAAGTAGAAAGGGAGTGGTGAGTGAGATACAGTTTAGAGGCTAAAGTAAGGACCAGGAATTGTGAGGTCTACAGGCAATATAAGAAGATAAGACCAGGCACTCACATCATATGCTCGGGCTCCAAAGGAGATTCTTGGGGTGCAATCTGTCAATAGAGACAGCAAGTGCTATATCCAATATCAAGGAATTCCGCCACCAAAACCAACTCTTCCACCATAAAAACCTTCACCACCCTGAGGGTGGAGATGACAGACAACTCCACCTATGGGATGAGAAGGGAAGCAGGAAAGATACTGAACTCTGACATTAAAAAAGCCTTTAATTTTTTGAGTTTTTTTTTCTTTTCTCTCTCTCTCTCTTCTCCCACCCTCATATCCCCAACATTTGTGAAACCAAGTACTTTTCATGGATTAGGTTACTGGAATGTCTGAATAGTATATCATAGTTGCATTGTATATTCTTTTATTTCCTATTTTCACTTTTTTTCTTAATTTCTATATTTGTTTGTTTTTTGTGCTCTCTCTATTGTATTTTTACTTACTTCTCTCCCCAATTCACTTTTTCTTATTTCTTCTGCTACTAGATAATTTCTTTTGATTCCTCTTTCATGCTACCTAAGATCTGATAACTCTATATCCTCACCTCCTACCTCCTTAACATTTGATCCTACACCCCACCCCAGGTTCTCTCTTTGTCCACCATCAGAAACTGTAGACCCTTTTGCAAAACTACTGTATATATTATAGATAATAAGTGAACTCATCATTTCTGTATATTGTGACAAAATCATAAACGTCTTATTAGCAACTATTTGGTTTAAGGCTGTATATTGTTTGTATTGTGATCTGTTAATATTGACCTCCCCCTTAAAGGAGAGGTATTGGAACCCTGCAAGGACACTATAAATCTATAGGGTGAAAACTGTAACACCTCAGAAATGCAGAGCTAGAAGGGAAGACATACATAAACAACATGAAAAAACAAAGGAAGAAAGTACCCCAAACAAACCAAGATACTACATTATTAGAATCCATGGCCAGCACAGGAGAACAAATGTCAGAGAAGGAGTTCAGGATGTACATGATTAAAATGTTCTGCAAATTAAAGGATGATATAAGAGGACAAATACAGGTAGCAAAAAATCATTTTGATAGAGAGCTACATAAGCAAATGCAGGAAACAAAGAAATTAAAGGGATACAGATAGGAAACAACATGATTCTATACCTAAAACTAATAAATGAATTCAGCAAAGTTGCAGGCTATAAAATCAATACCCATAAATCAAATGCATTTCTGTATATCAGTAACTAATCTTCTGAAAGAGAAACTAAGAAAACAATCCCATTTACAATGCAAATGAAAACTACTCATTTCACTACAGTCAGAATGGCAGTTATTAAAACACAAGCAACAGTAAGTGTTGGCAAGGATGTGAGGAAAAAGGCACATCACATTCTATATTGATGGTGGAACTGCAAATTAGTACAACCAATCTAAAAAGCAGTATGGAGATGCCCTAAAAAAAACCTGAAATGGAACAACCATTTAACCCAGCTATCCCACCCCTTGCTCTATACCCAAAGGGCTTAAAAACAGCATACTACAGTGATGCAGCCACATCAATGTTTAACAGCACAATTCACAGTACACAAACTATGGAAGCAATCTAGATGTCCCTCAGTAGATGAATTGATAAAGAAACTCTGGTATATATATACACAATGGAATATTACTCAGCATTAAAAAAGAATAAAATCATGGCATTTGCAGATAAATGGATGGAATTGGAGAATATTATGCCAAGTGAAGTAAGCCAATCCCTGAAAACCAAAGGCTGAATGTTTTCTCTGATAAATGGATGCTGATCCATAATGGGGGTGGGAGTGGGGAGCATGGGAGGAATGCAGGAACTTTGATAGGGCAAAGGGGAGGGTGGAGAAGGTTGAGGATATGGGGGTAAGAAAGATGGTGGAATGAGATGGACATCATTACCCTAAGTACATACATAAAGACACAAATGGTGTGACTCTACTTTGTGTACTAAGAGAGAAATGAAAAATAGTACTCCATTTGTGTACTATGAACTGAAATGCATTCTGCTCTCATGTATAACAAATTAGAATAAATAAATAAATTTAAAAAAAGAAATGTGATATATATACACAATGGAATATTACTCAGCCTTAAAGAAGAATGAAATTATGGTATTTGCAGGTGAATGGATGGAGCTGGAGAATATCATTCTAAGTGAAATAAGCCAATCTCAAAAAACCAAAGGTTGAATGTTTTCTTTGATAAGCAGATGCTGATCCATAATGGGATGGGGGTAAGGAAGAATGAAGAAACTTTGTATTGTGCAGAGAGGAGTGAGGGGAAGGGAGAGGGAATGGGAAGGACAGTGGAATGAGACAGACATTATTACCCTATGTGTATAATTACACTACTGGTGTGACTCTGTACCATGTACAGTCAGAGGAATGGGAAGTTGTGCTTCATTTGTGTAAAATATGTCAAAATGCATTCTACTGTCATGTATAACTAATTAGAATAAATTTTTTTTTTAAAAAATCACTTCAATAAGGAGATTTAAGATTCTGAAAAGAAATCAAGTAGAAATCCTTGAAATGAAAGAATCAATAAACCAAATTAAAAATTCAATAGAAAGCCCAAACAACAGACTAGACCACTTGGAAGACAGGAGTTTCAGGCAATGAAGACAAAATATGTAATCTTGAAAATAATTTTGACCATGCAGAGAAGATGTTAAGAGACCATGAATATATCTTTCAAGAAATGTGGGATAATATGAAAAGACCAAAATTTAAGATTTATCAGGATAGATGAAGGCATAGAGATACAAACCAAAGGAATACACAGTCTTTTCAATAAAATACTATCAGACAATTTCCCAAACTTCCCAAAGAATGAGATGTAAAATCAAATACGGGACACTTACAGGACCTCAAATATACAATAGTACCAATGCACATTATTATGAAAATGCCTAACAGAATAAAATAAGGAATGAATTTTAAATCCTACCATAAAAATATGTCTCATTACATTTAGAGGGGAAACAATTTGGATCTCAGCTGATTTCTTAACCCAGATGCTCAAAGCTAAAAGCTCTCAGAAAAATATATACCAAGCTCTGGAGGAAAATATATGCCAACCAGGAAAACTATACCCAGCAAAATTAAGCTTCAGATTTGAAGATGAAATAAAAACCTTCCATGGTAAACAAAAGTTGAAAGAATTCACTACTAGGAAGCCTGAACTACAGAACATTCTCAGCAAAATTTTTTAAAAAGTGAAAACTAGCAAAGGGAGAAACTAAAGGAATAGTCAGTCAAAGGATAAACTAATTGAAATCAAAAGCCAGAAATGAACCAAAATGACTGGGAATACAAATCATACTGCAATAATAACTTTGAACATAAATGAAGTACAATCATCACAAAAGACAAAAACTGGCAGACTGGATTGAAAAACATATAAGGTAAAGTAGACTTTAAGCCATGTTAATCAGAAGGGACAAAGGGGGCATTTCATACCACTTAAAGGAATTATATATCATCAATACATAACAATTGTAAATATGCCTCAAACAATGGAGCATCTATGTACATCAAACAAACAAACAAACACCTTCTCAATTTCAAGACTCAAATAGAACCCAACATAATGATACTGGGTGACTTTAACACACCTCTTTCACCAATGGGTAGATCCTCCAAAAACGAAACAAAAACTATAGAGCTCTAATATAATTATTAATTTACACTTACCAGACATATATAGAATATTTCATACATAAGTGATACAACACACTTTTCAGCAGCACATGTATCCTTCTCTAAAGTAGACCACATTTTGTGCTGGGGTTTTAGCTCAGTGGTGGAACACTGGCCTAGCATGTGTGAGGCACTGAGTTCAATCCACAGCACCACATAAAACTAGATAAACAAAATAAAATTATTATTATGTCCATCTATAACTAAAAATATTTTAAAATAAAATAGACCAAATT